ACCCAGTGGTGCACAACACCCAGGACAGTGCCCAGCTCAACACACTGAGGTGTTCAATAAATATCTGTTGAAGGAATGGGTCTGGGACCCAGGAGAGACCTGGACTTCTTGATCACCTTCTGCAAAGTGTGGGCCTTTGTTGTTTTATTCCCTGGTATTTTCCTATACAACAATCAAGGGTATGAGCACTGCCCTAATGATTCACCTGTTTCTTTAAAGCCTGATTCCCTTACTACATTGCAGGTTCTGTGGACCAGGACAGTGTGCTTTTTGTTCCTCTCCATGTGTCTTGACCTAACCCAGCCTACAGTGGAAATCAGGGAAATATTTGTGGAATGAATGAAGGGCTAGGAACGGGGACTTGGGCGTGGAGAGGATGTAGGCAGGAGCCAAGAGAGAGGAGGGGCAGTAGTGAACTGCGTGGCCCCAACCAGCAGGAGCCTCCGGGTTCAAAGTGACTTGTCTGCAACACTCTTCTCCAAACTTTCCAGCTGTCTCCTCCTCTCCCACATGCCACACCCCCCCAATCTGGCCCTTTCTCTGAGCTGCTGTTCCTTCATCTGTAAAATGGGGATTTATTATGTGTCCTGCCTCCTTTAGTAGGTGGCTGTGGGCATCCAATGAGGTGATTCAATTCAACAAATGTTTATATAGGTGATTAAATGCCACAGTGATAAATGCCTTTGAATAAATGTGCTAACCTCTGAGCTCAGTTCCACCTGGCTAATGTGCACGCAGATTATGCCACTGTGGCTTGAAGCAGCCTCCTCTGTTCTGAGAGGCAGTAGGAAACAAGATCTCATTGATACATGCCACCTCTCTTCCCCAGGAGCCCTTAATTTCAGTGACAATAGACTTGCATCTTGCAATCTGAATCAGGGCCAGACAGTCTGTCCCATCCAACCTCCATATTCAGAATGAGTTGATGGAGATCTGACACATGGACCATGGTGGAGGGGCCTGGCCGCACCCTACCTCCCCACAAGCTGTTGCACTCACTGAGTCTTGGCAGGGTGGAGCCTGAGCTGATGGCCACGATGAGCATGGCTAGTGAGCAGGCAAAATGGACATGAACTTGGGAAGGATGCTCACCTCCTAGGACTGCTATCAGGATGACAAAGGTTCACAAACAGAGACTCCTGAAAGCAGAAGCTGTGCCTTTATCACCTCTGTGGAAGGCAGGACATTGCGCAAGCTGTGGTCTCTCTCTCGACTACCCCACCCTCAGTGTTAGGCCTGAGATTCAAGTCTTGTTAGCTCTGTGAAGCCTCCCTTCCCTCCCTAGGCAGAGACGTGGCTCCACCTCTATGGAACGGGAACCCAGGGAAATTCTCACTGTTGAGGGCTGTTAAGTGCCAACTGCTATGCATGATTCTTTATATATCTTCTACCATTTCACAGGCACAACCATCTGGGAGTTGAGGGTGTGAGCCCCATTTTGCAGATCTGAGGGTCAGCCACAAGTCACTAGGTGAAAGTGGTTGAGCTGAGACTGATCAAAAGTCAAATGCACAGTATTTCCACTTGTATTTCCAAACGTATTTGCACTTTGGCTGTGTTGCTAGCAGAGCGCAGCTTGTGTGGTTTTATCTGTTCACGAATGCTCCTCCAGAGCAAGGATCTTCTCCAATCCATCTCCCTGCCTGTCCCAGGCAGGTCTGGAGACTGCTGAGCACCAGGCCCAGGACTGTTCAGGCCCCAGCACAAGCTAACCAAGTAGACAGGGTGGCAGAGCCCTTGCCAGCAAGAGAGATCTGGTGTTAACCTTCTCACCCTGGTTGGTGTTCATTGTACTCTAGTCTGCTGTCACCAGGGTGTCACTGAGTTTCACCTGTCCCTTGGTCTTCACTGATCCTGGTTCCATTAACTAAGCATCTGCCTCTGTTCTTTATTTTCACTGTGTTTTTCTGTAGGGCTTTAACCCCCTAGTTGGCTGGTCTGGTGCTCTGAGACCTTTTCTGGGTACTGCAGTTTCTCTCTCTCCGGGTGTTGAAATCCATCCCTGAGATGCTGCCAATGAGTCTTCTCTAATTAGCTGTACCCATCCCTCTCTTAGAGTCACAGTGATGTCATCCCTGTGCTCTCCTGCACAGTCACCTGCTAGCTAGACCACTGTGGCTAATAGCACTTGACTAGACCTCAGTCAAACAGATCTGACATTGAAACCCAGTTCTGCTTCTTACAGGCTGCATGGTCTAGGGAAAAATTCTTAACACTTTACACGTCGATTTCTTCATCTATAAAATGAGGGTAATAATACATACCTCCTAAGAGTACTGAGAAAATTAATGGGACAATATAGGCAATGATCGTAGTGCCTACTATTATTCCCAATAGCCCAGATCATGTTGTTACAAATTGCAGCCTGACCTTCAATTCACTCCCCAAGGAGCTGGCTAAACCCACATCAAGATAAATTTCCTTATCTCCCAACCCAACTGTTTTCATTGTCTTTGCTTTTCCTACTATCCCACCATAATGTTTTACTATGTCTCAATAATGTACTGTAAGAAAATTGTATTAGTCAGAATAAGGTAGGATATGCCACAGTAACAAATGGGCCCAAGTTCTTGGTAACTTAATACAACAAAAATTTATTTGTATCACAATCTTGTGACTATTGGAAAGATTCTTCACTGGCTTTCTTAGAAGTAGGGACTCAGTAATGGAAGTCCCTTCAATTTTGTGATTTTCCTATCTTAAGCACATGATTTCGGACATTGTTACAAAAGGGGAAGAGAGAAAGTAAACAATTGACCAGTCTCACAGGTCACATTTGTATCTCTTAACCACATATTGACCAGGACCTATTCATGTGCTTAAGTATAACTGCAAGAAATGCTAGAAAGATAGTCTTCTCACATATCCAGGAAAAGGAATTCAAAATGAGATTTGGTGAACACAAAATATTTCCTCTGTCTACTTCCTTCCCATAATAGAATACCCTCCATAGTCCCAGACTCGTAGCCTGTGGAACTGCTCATTCATTGGCACTGCAGCTGTGCTGACCTTGGAGGACATTGCTTCCCCTTTATTTAACAGTCCATCCCAATATGAACCAAAGCTGCCTTCTTTTTCACTATGGCAGAGTTAAGATGAAATGTCTAACTACAGCAGATTTTACCAACACACCTGGGGGTGACACCTGGGGAATAAACAGCACACTATAGCTTGCCAGTTAACATTTTGAAAAAAATGGAGTTTGTGAATCTTCAGCTTGGGTCTTCCATACCTCTGCCCTGCTGCCACAGTTCAGAAGTCATCTGACCCTACCATCCAGGAATGCCTGCACACATATCCTACACCACAAATCATACTCATGGCACCCAAGAGAGAGCAGCTACAGAGAAGAGTTGTGCACATGAGTGTGGAGAGAAGCCATTGCCTCTCATCTCCTCACAGGGAAGAACCATGATGACTTTTAGACTCCACAGAGCTTTCTAATACATATGAAATTGGTTACCTAAATTATGATTCCTAAGTCACATGACTGATTGCTGTGGTTTGAAGGTTTGGGTCTCCTCCAAAATTTAGATTGAAACTTAATCCCCAATGCAACAGTATTAAGAGGTATTTTTGGAGGGGAATAGGCCATGAGGAATGGGATTAGTGCCTTATAACAGAACTGGAGGGAATTAGCTGGGCTTTTACCCTTCTGCCCTCTGCCATATGGTGATGAACACAGCTCTTATCACCTCAAAAGGATCATCTTGGAAGCACAGATTGGATTCTCATCAGCTACCCACTTGGGTCTCGATCTGAGCCCCATAAGTGAGCAATAAATTTATGCTATTTATAAGTTTCCTGGTTTAAGACATTTTGTTATAGCAGCATAAACAGACTAGGACACCAGCTGACCTGTATACATTGTGCAAAGACCTACCATGCCCACATCCTAGTTGTCTGAGCCTTTAAGCATTCTGATCACAGGGTATGATTATGCCTTGAAGTCCAGATTCAAGTAAATGAGACCCAAAGAGAGGCAGGGATTCCCTGCCTGAGTTTTCTATCCAAGGATCCACTTTTCTGGGTGAGGGAACACGTGAGTGGTTGATACTAGTAATGATTTCCCACTTCCAGGCAAGCCCCATCTCCTTGCCACAGGGGGGATGTTTCTCCTTTGATCTCAACAAGACAAGCATATCAGAAAACATCTTAATAATTCATCTGAGTAATGCATACAGAATGTAGCTGGCATCGGTGGAGGAAGAAGATTTCCTTACAAGAACCTAAGGGGTCACTGCATCCCTAGCTCTAAGCGGGACACCTGGTATAAAGTAGGGGGCTGAGATTCTTGTTAAAAGACTATTAAAAGAGGAGCAATTTGGCTTGGTCATGTTTGCTTAGCATTCTTCAAAAAAAAAGAGGTCTTACTACCTTATTATATATTATTATGATGTTTACTGAGATAAATAACTGAGATGTAAGCTTCCTTCAAGATGAAAGATAAACCAGGCGGATTACAAACTAGTAAAAAAGGAACTTTTTTGAACACTTTAACTTCCAAAATAATCCTAGGCATTTTATTCTTCAATATATTAGCATTAAATAATTGTATACCTTGTAGTAATGCACCCTGCATTTCTACACTGATCATCCATCCCTTCCTCCCTGCCCATCTGCCCCGTCCCCACTATTACTGTTAACCTCATTGTCCACTCCCTCAAGTCCTTTGGGGAATGCAATGGAGGGAAGAGCAATATATTCAAGCAGCCCCCAGCATTCAAATGAGGAATCACACTGTGCTCTCTGCATGAGCAGGTATTCGCCTCCTTGAGCCATCTTTTCGTCCCTTGCCAACTGGGGATAGCATCTCTTATCTCACAACTGTGTCCTGAGGAGTAGAAGAAAATATGTGCTAACTTGTGCAGCTTGTTCCACAATAGACTCCCGGTAAATTTGACTTCCTCTCCTCTTTCCTTTTCTCCCTTTTGAAGGTAGTCAGGATATAAATTATACATAAATAAATTACACGTTATGCTGGAAATCCTCAGACATAATTAATGTAACCAATAATAATTTTAATATTAATAGTAACTCCAGCAGCCGCATCCTAACTCTGACAATCCATCTACACGCTCCAGTTTCATCATCATACAACAGATGGTTCTCAAAGTTTGCCCTAGAGAGAGGTGAAAGCGTGTGATTTCCCATTTTCAGATTTTTTTTCCCCGACGCTTCTTTTTCTCATTACAGTATTCTGCTACAAACCATTACTTAGGGTACAGAGTGAAAGTAATGAATTTGCCAAGTAATGAAAGGCTGAGACAGGAAAGGAAACATGGAAAAGCTTCACACAGTATCTAAGATGGAAGGCAGTGTTTGGAAACATCAAGAATGTGCTAGAAATATGATTTCCGCCTACTCAGTGCCCTGAAGGATGGATGTGACCTTTTTGGAGATTACGGCATATCATTCCCATGCCCAGAAAGAACAAACTGAAGTCAAGGGGCTTAAAAGACCAAGAAGAGCCAGAAGATCTGAGCCCAACTTCAGGCTAAGTATCTACTGAGCCTTCTTGCAAACTATTTTCAAAATTTAATTTGAAAAAAAAATGCTTCAGAGAACCCTTCAAGCTCTCAAATTGGAAGTTTGTTGTTTGGTGTTTCTTGAAGATTTAAATAGAAACAAACAGCATGGCTGGGAGTGGGGGTTCTGAAACACAGCTGCTGGGTGGGAATGTGGGGGAATTGAGCTTCCTTATGGAGATGGGTCAGCTTGCACGGGGCCTCCGTCTTATCAACTAGAAAGTGAGGATCGTAATGGGGACCAAAGAAGGAAATATTTTCAAGGTTTAGGGCATTGCTTCTGACAGGCAATAAACAGGTATCCATCATCCATTCCTTGTCCATGATTAAATGGAGCTCATGGGGACAGTCACCTTGGCCTGTAGCTAGCAACAGATCACCAAAGCACCTGGTATGTAGTAAAACCTCATCCTTAATTGTAATGAAATATTCATCCCTAAATGTAGTGAGACCTGGTTAATTTCAGGTCAATTTCAAATTTCACATCCCAAATTCTCCCTGTAATGCCTGTACCCATATCTATATCTTGTGCTGTCACTCTCCCATGTAAGCACATGAGGGTTCTCTACCAAGCTGGTGGCTTGGACTTGCTAATCTCAGGATGGGGGCTCATAAGCAAAGTGAGATCATTGTCGGGAAATAAGACAATGCTATTTTGTTTTCGCATTCAGGTGTAGCATGTGCATTCTGACACGGATACAGCCACCAGTGATTGAGGGGACAGAGTGAAGGAAGAGAGGAACTGCCATTGTAGCTGCCCACGCAGTCCTGTGCTTCACACCAGGAGGCTCACACCACCATCAATCCTACACCAACACTGTCGGCCCTCTTATTATGTTTTGATGAAGATGAAGAGCACACATCTCAGAGGGGCATGTTGACTTTCTCAGGGTCCGCAGCATGTGGGCAAACTGAATTCAGCACCTAGAGAATGAGAAGAAAGACAACAGGGGGTGGTGGATGTTCCAAGCCATTGATCTTAAGCCCACTGGCAACACAGTCTCCACCTCTAACAGCTGCCAGTGATTAGTGCCTACTGTGTCCCAGGGCCTGCTACTGTAACTTAACCTCAACCAAAGCAAAACGCACACCTCCCAGCCCAGCCAGGTCCAGGGAGAGCCCTGCCATCCCTCATCCCTACCACCATGGCAGACTGGACTGGAGCCACTAGGGGGAGCCCTGGCATTAAGAGCAAGGGAAATGCATCCGCCCAACTACCCCTGCCTGGGGGCCTGAGAGCCTCCCCAGCAGCACAAGACTCACACATGTGCACAGAGACACAGTGAAAGCCAGAGTGCTGAGGGGAGGTTACAGAAGACCTGTGGTCACACTCCATGGAGGCTTGAGGAATGGGACCTGCACTGACTGTGAGCAGTGCGCACAGCTGTGTTGATCTGAGAGTCATAAAGCCAGTGTAGAGAAGAGGTGTGCTGTTTAATCAAATAGCACATCGTGGCTCAGAATACAATATATCAGCACAATCACACACAGGACGAGAGATCTTTGCTCAGAGAAGGTTTTATTTCACCATAAATGCATGTGTGTGTATGATGAGACATGAGGTAAAGGGTATATCTTACTGAGTCATTCATAAAGTTTAAAAGACACTGAGCTAAAAGCTTATGTAAAATCCACCCAACCAGGTCCTAAACCACAAGCTTTGACTTAGTGTCTTGTTGGGGACTCAAAGCCTGTATTTTTGATAGATTCCCATGTGACTCTGATGGCCAGACAGGTCTGGGACTGCTAAAGGAGGTGGGCGCCACTGGGGCTTTCTTGCCTGCCCCCAACCTCCTCTTCCCTGGTCAGGACAGGAGACACTCTGTAATTCAAGAATTTGGCTCAAACAAAGCAAGAAAAATCACACAGCTGCATGAAAGCAGGGCACAAGCCACCTGACCTGCTCTGCTTGTCCCCACCCCAGGACAGCTGGGAGCCCCCAAAGCTGGGAACTGAGGTTTGGTTTTCCATCACCAACTCTGTCGGAAAACAAACAAACCCAGAAGGCAAAGTCACTTTACAGTCAGCCAGATCAGGTTCAAACCTGGATCCTTCAACGCAGCACCTATGTGACTGAGGGCAGGCCATAGAAGCCTCTCAGCCTGAGTCTCCTCACCAGTTAAAATGGGAATAATAATGCTTCCCAGGGCTACTGTAAGAATTAAAGCCTGTATTCAGATACCTAGGTAACACCTGCCCAGACCAGGTGCTATTACGTTAGCTCCCTTTCTCACCTCCATGGATACCCCTGTGAGCTGAGACACACTTGTCCCCTGAGAAGGTGATTACAAAATGAAGTAACCACCAGCAGGGGTTAGACCAGGCTGTTCCCAATGGGGATCACAGTGTCCAGCCAGAGCATTCTGAACTAACTGGAGGGGCAGGACATGCCCCATTCCTCATCACCTCCCCAGACATGGGCACAAAGTAGAGAGGGAGGGACAGACCAGCCTGGGAGCAGGGAAGAGCCGCCTGCTGAGCTGGCTGAGGTCTCTGGATCTGTGCACAGAGGGGACCCTGCAGGTACCTTGCCACACTCCCAGGATGGAGGCGGGCCCATGCTCAGCCCCAGCCCCAGGCAAGGGAGGAGCTACAACCCAGGTTGAGCAGGTGGAGCACCTGGACTCAGGTGTCTCCCAGGCAGCAGCGGGAAGTGATTACTCCCTGGCAGGCAGAGGCAGGGACAGAGGAGCCACGCACTTGATCTCTAGATCCAGCTCTGGGAGGCTGGATTTGTCTCCCAGAAGAAAGCTATGGAAGAGGTAAGACTCTTTGGTTTGGACCTTGTCTTTCTGTGTCCTTTCTTGCCAGGTTGTTCTCCCGATGCAGACAGCCCTGAGGACAGGCTGCCTGTGTCTCCAGCCTTCTGGACAGGAATGAATATGTCAGGCATGGTGTAGAGCACACTGGCCTTACTGGGGGCAGGTGGGATGTGGAGGACCCTGCTGTGTCCTGTGCCCTGCAGAGCAGGAGGGTCTGAGAGACGCGGAGGAGGACAGCATGGGGGGTCCCAGCTCTAATTTTGAGCTGGGCTTCACGCCTGCTTCCCCAGGACAGGTCAGGTGCCTGCACTCCTCTCTATTTACCTGCCCTCCTGGACTGCCCGGCCTCTGCGGTGATTAGCAGGCTTCCTGGTTCACAGGCAGAGCTTGGAGCTGGCAAGAGATGGCTACCAGGTGCTTACTTGTGGCTTTAGATTGGGCTCTGCTCCTCATGAACTGTGTGGCCTAGAGCCAGAGTATTACCTGGTTTCCTCATGGGTCAAACAGTATTATGCTAGAATAAGGCTTTGCAGGATTACTGGCGGTGCTGATAAAAATAGAGGACCTATGATGTCATTAAGTGGGGTGGCACTCCCTTACCCTCGGATGGCTGAGCGCTGTTTGCGTACTTGGAGGTTTCTCCGCTTGACTGATTGCATCTTCCTTTTTCCTTCTCCCATTCTCTGCTCTCCTCTATTTTTTTTCTTCAATGAGTCTGTTTCATTTGGAGAGTGTGTGTTCTGCTTTCATATCTCCTTATTCTGTATTTGAAAGCAAATCATTTTCTCCCGTGAGTCATGCCGCTTCCCCCCAGGTGTCAGGTCCTCTGTGCTGACTTAAAACCAATCAGCTGTCGCTGGTCAAGACAAGCTCCCCCTTTGTCCCAGGGCATTGTGCCCTGAATGGCAGTCCAGTCCAGTTAGCTGAGTTTTGGAAACAGGTGAGCCAGGGCGCTCTGATACTGCTTCCCTCTCCCTCTGAATTTTCTCCAGTATCCTGCCCAGAGCACGCTGTTGAGCAACTCTGGGAAGTTCCTCCTTGGTAGAGAAGTGCCAGCTGAATAGATTTAGTGTGGGCGTAAAAAATGAAGCTGAGCTGTACTTTGCCCTCTCTGATGGACAGCATCTGAACAGGCATCCGCTATTCATTGAAGCTAAGCTATGACACAGGCAGATGTTGTTTGTACCATTTTTTTTAATAGGTGAGGAAGCTGACGGTCAGAATGTTATCATTCGTTTAGTGTCACACAGCTGGTAAGAAGCAGAGCTGGGACACGAGCTTCCATTTGTCAATAAAAGCTACAGATTGCCAGCTCCCAGCCAAGCATGGCTAGCAAAGATCAAAACAGGAGAACGGGAAGAATGCAGGGGATTTAGAGAAAGATGTACAAAAGGGCATTTTTGTTAGCTATTAACATTCTTGTGGGATAAGTAAACACAATTACACAACTTTTACTGATCAGAAAGAGGGAAGAGAAGATTGAAAAAAAAACATGGGTAGTTTTTAACTGGAAAAGAGGATTGTTGTAATTTTTAGAAAAGTTTTTAAAATTCTGTCATTCAATATGTATTTTTTGAACATATTTTTTGTATGGTCAGGTCCTATCTTAGGTGCTATCAATGCAAGGAACCAAACAGTCAAAAATACTTGCTTTCATAAAACAAAATCTAGTGGAAGAGAGAAATAAATTACAATGAAATATGTATATACAGTGTGTATGTGTGTATATCCTTGTTTGTGTGTGTGTTGAGAAATGGCCATCAATGCAATGTGGATACACAATGCAGGAAAGGGCTTAAGAAGGCTGAGGTCACAGAAGAAGCTGTCATTTTAAGTGGGACATTTTCAATAATGATGATACGGAGGCATTTGAACAGAAACTTGAAGGAGGTTAGAGGGTTGGTTCTGTGATTATCCTAGGGAAGAAAATTCTTCAGAGAGTTAAGAGCAGATGCAAAGGCTCTGATGCAGAAACTTATCTGATATGAACAAAGAACAGCAAAACGGCCAGACTGGCTGGTGGAGAGGAAGCCAGGAGAGAATGGTAAAAGGTAATAGAGTCAGATCATGTGAAACTCTGAGGCCATTATAGAAATTTCAGGCTTTCCTGAGTGAAATGGCGAGCCACCTGAGCTTTGTGAGCAGATCAATGGCGTGATCAAACTTAAGTTTGTATGAATCATCTGGCAGTGGTTCTGAAACTAGAAGGTAAGGGTCAGAAGAGCAGAAGCTGCTGACCAGGTAAGAGGTGTTGCAGTTGGCCAAGCAGGAGGGGCTGGAGGCTCAGACCAGTCCTAGCAGTGAAGGCAGACAGAGGAGGTAGAATTCTGGTTACACAGAGGACACTGCCCATGCTCCACAGCCTGCTGTGGTGCTAAGCGGTGAGGTTCAGCAGTTCAGGTGTACTAAATGCATGTTTGACCTAATCTACCTTCAACTGGGGGCTGGGGTTGTGGCTCAGTGGTAGAGCAAGTGCCTAGCATGTGTGAGGCACTGGGTTCAATCCTCAGCACCACATAAAAATAAATAAAGGTATTGTATCCATCTACAACTAAAAATATTTTTTTAAAATTATATTCAATTGGCCACAGGTTTATTGGACTGTAACCCCATCATAAGTTGAAGAGCAGCTGTATATTAAAGGAGTAGATAGGATTTATGGATGGATTGGAGAGAGAGAATAAATAAATTGTCAATGACTTCAAGGTGTGTAGCCTGAACATCTGGAAGAACAGGGTCCATCAATGTTTGCTGAGATAATTTAAGACAGAGCACGTTTGGAAGGAGATCAGGCATCAGTTCTAGTTTAAGGGGCCATGCAAGCTCTCAGCTATTCAGATTTAGAGTCCAAGGCAGGAGGGCTAACCAAGATAAGGTGCCTGAATTAGGAGAGTGTCAGGTGCTTAGGGTATGTCAGCATATGGCTTTAAAATTCAGCCTTACATTCTCTAACATTCTTCCCATCCAGAGGAGAGATCTGTGTTCCTTTCCCATGAGACTCTGCAAGATTGTAGCTGCTTGGAGCAATACAGTTAGGCACACAGAGCACTGTGGGACTTGGGGGTGTAAAATGAAAGGCCACGCTGCCTCCACCTCACCTGAGAACGTGTGATCTTGCAATCCTGAGCCCCTGGAGCAGCAGTCTGTACCCCGTGGCTTTCATGCTGGAGACACCTCATGTAGACACTGGGGGACAGTTCCAGCTAAGCCACCCCTTCCAGGTCTTCCCACAAGGCTTAACACAGGCCCTGCACCCACTGGCCAGTGAGAAACCATCGAATAACTTCCATCAATACCTGCGGGCCAGAGAGGGCACCCAGCGGAACCGTCCACTTTCCTAACCCACACAATGCTGAGGCTCACAACAATCATTTGTTGTTGTTGTTTTTGGCCACTCGATTTTTAGGTAGTTTGTTTTATATCGATAGATATTGAAGCAATTAGATAACCTTCAATCTCTTTTGTCATTAAAAAAGTTATTCTCTCCCCAAGGTATAAGGCTTAAGGGAATTGTGTATGAATATGTTTTATTATATAGTTTAGACCCCCAAAGAGGCCAGTGGATTTTTCTAGATTGGAGCATGAAGGTGTACCCCAATGCATGCCCTCAGCCAGGTAGGTTTCCATTCAGTTACAGTCTTGGCAAGGGAGAATTATAGCATTTTTGAGGTGGGAGAACTGGTCAGTCAGGGAGCTTACAAATGGTGCTTGAATTCTTTTTTTTTTTTTTTCTGTTCTTTTTTCATTTTTATTTATTTATTTTTGTTGTTGCTTTTGGATACACATGACGGTAAAGTAAACTTTGACACACATACATGAAGTATAACTTCCCATTCTTGTGGTTGTACATGACGTGGAGTTACACTGGTCATGTATTCATATATGAACATAGGAAGGCTATGTCCAATTCATCCTACTGTCTTTCCTATTCCCATCCCTGCTCCCTTCTCTACATTCCCCTTTGTCTAATCTAATGAACTTCTTCGCTCTGCCCCCTTATTTTGTGTTAGCATCCGCATATCAGAGAGAACATTTGGCCTTTGGTTTTGGAGCTAATTAGCTTATTTCACTCAGCATGAGAGTCTCCAGATCCATCCATTTACCAGCAAATGCCATAATTTCATTCTTCTTTATGGCTGAGTAATAGTCCATGGTGTATATATATTGTATTTCCATTCATCTTCTGAAGGTGGTGCTTGGATTCTTGATGAATGAGCTTTGGAGTCATAATTGAACTACACATAAGTTTACCTGTGCCTCTGATTAGTCAAGTGATCTGAGCAAGTCGTAGGAGTTGGGAAGTTGCTCGAAGAACAACCAGCTCAACAACTCCCGTCCAGGGGAAAATTTGAAACCCAGAGGCAGAGATGGTCACATACTTTTTAACTACCACAGCCCATGCGCCTCATGTGCCATGGCCGGTCCACAGCCACTCTTGTTCATGTTGAGAGTAAACTGAGTCTGACCATCTGGTGGCTCAGCCAGCCTCTCTCATCATCTGATAGATATCTACCAAGCATCTCCTGAGGGTCAGGCCAGGGAGCCACTGGGGCCTCATCTCTGCAATGGGAGGTTGACTGAATGTCTCCATGGTAACGATGCTCTGACATCCTGGGACCCTCGGACACTCCTGAGGTCATATATAGCTTGATTTTGACAGTATCCAGGTCTATCACTTAACAAGGTTTCAAGAGCAATTTTAGAGATTTTTTTTTCCTTGAAAAATTCTTATTTTCCTTAACAATTCCTGATTTTTAAGGAATAAGTCTTACGTCAGGGAATCACCTGCCAAAGTAGCCCTGCCAACTGAGAAGGATACACACCGAAAAGGAGGGTGGAGGGTCGGGTGTGGGGGTGGAAGGTCAGATAGCAGGCATGAGGTTTCTCGTGGGTTCTGGGAGAACCTCTGAGGAGGGAAGGACATCACCCCGTTGGTCACAGTCCCCACCCAAGGCAGGCTGGCTGGATTGTGTGCTGGATCCCTGGGGGTGAGGCAGGCATGGGCTGGAGCCACCACGGGGCTAAAATTCATGCCAGCCTGCCTTGTCCCTCACCCTGTCACCAGCATGTGGCCCATGGCTGCTTTCCCTTTGAGTCGGGTCTCCCCTGGGAATAAATGGTTCCAACAGGCAAATCTGGTCATGTCACTCCACTACTGAGCCCCTCAGCAGTTCCTGTTGCCCACATGTGGGGTCCAAGCCCTGCAGCCAGGCTGACCAGGCCAAAGTGCTCTGGCACTAGCACCGCACCCTCCCACCGGAACTCCAGCCCTGGTCCCTGGGCTGCTTTTGCATGGACACCCCACTGTCCCCCCGGCTGATTATCCCTTCATTGTGACTCAGCTGAAACCCCACTACCCTGATCAGCCTTTCCCAGATCCTTAGCTGCAACTGGTCTTTCCTCATCTTGCAAGACCCAGGCCCTTTGAACAGACCTGGTCTGGACTATGAGATCCCAGGAAACAAGGGTTATGTCTTGCTCAAAGAGACAGCAAAGCCTGGTGCTGAGAAGCATGGTCCCTTGGGCAGCCTGACAGGCAGAAATTTCTGGCCTTACCATATACTGGCTGTTCAGTGTTCAGCATCTTACTTCATTTCTCTATGACCCAGATGCCTCATCTGTAAAGGGGAAATAATAATACCCACCTCTTAGCACTCCACTGGGGTTTAAATATGTTAAATAGCCACAAAGAGCTTAGAACAACTCATTGACCTCAAACAGGCAGTGAACTCTAGGTATTGATAATAGGTGGACCATTATCTTTTGAATTGTATCCCTCCCACCTCCTCCAAAACTCATGTGTTGAAACCTGCACCCCCATTATGTCAGAATGTGGCCTTATTCAGAGATATTAGGCCTTCTTTAGAAGGTCTTTGTAGAAATAATCAATGATAGCGGGCAGGTCATTAGAGTGGGTTTTAATCCAACATGACTGATGTCTTCATGAAAAGGGAGAATTTGAACAGGGGACACACAGAGGCCAGTGGACATAAACACACAGGGAGGACAGCAAGCGAACATGAGGACGCCAGCTACCAGCCAAGGGGCCAGGCCTGGAGCTGGTCCTTCCCCCAGTCCTGAGGAAGAACCCACCCTGCCCACACTCGATCTTGCCCTTCCAGCCTCCAGAACTACTCTAAGTTGATAAATTTCTCATTTAAGCCACAGTCTGTGGTCCTTTGCTGTAGTAGACCTAACAAACGAATATGCAGAGCTTATCAGCAAATTAAGAACATTCATGTAAATATATGGGGCTGTGCCCTCCCCTGCCCAACCTCAGAGGTGCTCTGGA